CCTTTTTTGAGCGTCTCCGGTACCACCGTAAAAACTTGATGTTCAGATGAAACTATATCAGTTATTTTCTCCTTCATGATCCTTGTAAAATAATATACTGGAACCTCTGTAAAAACTTCACAGTTGTTCATGGTGAGATGCTCTGTTTCGAATTTCTAGCTTGGTTCACCACACTTGGTGTGTGTGTTTTTCTATATGGTGCATGGCTTTTGTGAGACTTGAGCATTTTACTTAGTCCCCATATTCTTAGCTAGTCTGTCAGGCTAGTCTCTCATACGGTTTGGTATACTTTGAGCTAGTACAGTCTCTCATACGGTTTGGTATACTTTGAGCTAGTACAGTCTCTCATACGGTTTGGTATACTTTGAGCTAGTCTCCCATAGTACAGTCTCTCATACGGTTTGGTATACTTTGAGCTAGTCTCCCATACGGTATACGGTCCAATATACTTGACCTTGAGCTAGTCTCCCATACTGTCCAAGCTAGTCTCCCATACGGTTATACGGTCCAAGCTAGTCTCCCATACGGTTAGAGCTAGTCTCCCAAGCTTAAAAATGCTTCACTTGAGATTTGAACTTAAGATCATTTGGCATAGCTCACACGCGTTTATTCCAACTCCTCTAGCATGGTTCTTGCTAACTTATCCGCATCATAATTGTGTTAAGCTATAATCCCGCTTAACATCTAAAATCAACTTGTGATTTTCCAGATTTGTACATGGGTTGCATGATATGGGTGCACCATACTCCGTAGACTCAAACTGACGCAAATAGAATAAAAATGGGGACTACTTGATTTTTCAAAAATACATTCGGCTCATCAAAATTTACAATATATTCCTAACAGAGTTGTTTTAGTTTTTAGCAATTTGGAGCAATTGCTAAGTTATTAAATAATATTTTTGGTATTTTGATTAAATATAAAATGTTAAACAGACGGATTTCTTAAAATTTTGACGAATTTGTCAAATAATCAAATTAGAATAACAACAACAACAACAATAATAATAATATCAACAACAACACCAATAATAACAACAACAACAACAATAATAATAATAATAATAATAATAATAATAATAATAATAATAATAATAATAATAATAATAATAATAATAATAATAATCCAAACAAAACTATATACAAATGAATAAGGATAACAATTTATTTCTATAACTGAGCTGTTAGAGAACGAGCACATTTGCCTAATTTATAAAAATACTAATCAATGATAAAAAAAATCTTTTAAAGTTATAACACCGCATGCGTACATCTAGACATTAGCTATTAATTTGAGCAATTATTTGCAAAAATTCAAGAAATATTATCATCAAAATATATAAACGATCTAAACCATATCTTTAATTGCACTATATAATATTTGATATTCTAATTTAAATAATTATATATAAATTCATATATTCTAAACAAATCCATTCCGTGCATCGCACGGGTGCAAATTATAGTATATACTAATAATAATAATAATAATAATAATAATAATAATAATAATAAAAATATATAATAGTCTCTCTCTCCTCTTTGCAATTTTGACACGAGAGTTGCAACATTACGTCAGAATTGCAAATTAGTAGCAACATGTCATTTTTTATTTTAAAGCCACGTAGGCTTTACAAGGGGTAGGGATGACAATGGGTCGGAGAAGGCTACATCCGTCACCTAGCCTACCTTATATTTTTTCTATCCACCCCACCCTAACTCGCATTGGGTGGACTTTTTCAAAACCAACCCCCACCCTACCGGATATGGGTGACAACTACGGGTACCCACCACTTATCATCTTATTATTTTTTTTAAAAAATAATATTTTAATTAATTACACATAATAAAAAAATTAAATAGATAGATGGATAGGATAGGATAAGATAAGATAGATAGATAGAGGGGGAGGGGGTGGGGGAGGCGGAGGGAGAGAGAGAATTAGGTTCCCGTGTGGTAATTTGGTAATTTTTGCATCTAGGTCAATTTTAAGGTGCATGGTTTTTGTAATTAAGGTGCGTGAGTTTTGTACTTAAGATGCGTGGGGTGCGTGAGTTTTGTGCTTAAGATGCGTGAGTTGTGTAGTTGAGATTTGTACTTAAGGTGCGTGAGTTTTGTGCTTAATGCTTAAGGTGCTTTGTTTGTTCAATTAAAGACCAAGCATGAGAAATTCAATCATCAGGAGCCATTTGAATTAAAGATCCCATTCTTCCAAAAAGGGGAACCCCAACCCCCCTCACTTTGAGAAGTTGCTCCCACACTACCGCTGGTGAGACTCGATCCATGGTCATTCTTCAAAAGTTTCATCTCTGTGACTAGTTGAGCTGCCCATGCAGGTAAGATGTAGTTCCATATATGAATTAATAGTTCCCATATGAATTAATTGCATATGCACCGCACGTATGAATTCAGGATGTAGTTCCCATATGAATTAATAGTTCCCATATGAATTAATTCCACCGCCCACCATTGAGACGTCCAAGGTAGAGCTGTCGAAACCGGGCCCGTCAAAGCCCGCCATATGGCGGGGCGGGCTAAAAAGCCTGCCAAAATACGGGCCTAGGATTAGTTGGCCCGTCCCACCCCGCCCGCAGGCCATGGCGGGGGCCCGCCAAATTTAAAAAAATTTAAATTTGAATAAAAATTAATATTAAAAAATTTAATAAGTATATACTAATTTTTTTTTTAACTTGAATATATATATATATATATATATATATATATATATATATATATACATATATATATATATATATACATATATATATACATATATATATATATATATATATATATACATATATATATATATATATATATATATATATATATATATATATATATATATATATATATATATATCTAAAAACATAATAAGTGTGAATGAAAGTTATACCCCTAATTTATGTCCGTTTTTTCCGTTAAATTTTTTTGTACATTATGCTATAAAGGTTGTACATTAAAATATTTTGGACAAACATACCCCTACCGTTATAACTTCCGTTATCTTTTCCACTATTGTTACCATGCACATGCATCCACCATATATTTTCTTATCTTCTTCATTAATAATAATATATACACATTAAATATTTGAGTTATATGTTAATTATTACATAAATATAAATATCAAATTTATAAAAATGATTTATATTATTATTATTATTATTTAGAATAATTTAAATATCTAAAATCTAAATACATTTAAAATTTTAATATAATGTATTAATATTGGGCACCTATTTTTTGCGCATCGCGCATAAAAAATACTAGTATATATATATATATATATATATTTAAATTTTGGTGGGCCCCCGCCGGCCCGCCAAGCCCGCGGGTTAGGCGAGACGGGCTATCCCAGCGGGCTAAACCCATTTTGACAGTTCTAGTCCAAGGAGTCCACCGCCCACCTATAATTAATGTCTCTACTTCCTTCTTAATGTGTGTGGTTTGTGTGCTTAAGGTGCGTCGTTTGTGTACTTAAGGTGCGTCATTTTAATACGTAAGGTGCGTTATTGTTATAAACTGAAGGTGCGCGATGTTAATACTTAAGGTTCGTCATTTTAACACTTAAGGTGCGTGTTTCTATCACTTAAGGTGCGCCATTTTTAGCTTATGCTTCTTTCTTCCAGACACGCGTTTTTTTTTTTTTTTTTTAATTTTCATTGATTTGAGCCGTTGATCTGGATTTGATCAACGGCTCAGATTTAACCGCACGGGAAGTCATACCCGCACTTGAACCCTTCCCTACACACATACACATACATAGTCTTTGGATCTCATGAGAACACACCTCCAAGAGTAAACTAAGAACAAATCTCAACCTTACATTTGTAAAAATTCGATGGTTCTGATCAGATTTAAAAAAAAATGCAATGACATTTTTGTATTATCATCATCAACTGTACCATGCAAACTTGAACACTTAAATATGCAATTTTTAACAACTAAATATGCAAACCTAGTAAATTTTATAAAATCAATGAAAATGCTAAATTTTAAATCTACACCGTAAGTGCTAGATGATAAGCATTAAAAAGTGAATCACTAAACCAAATAAAACAAAAAATGCAGTCATAAACTCTACAATCAAAACCCTAACAGCAATGTACTTTCGCATTTTTGCAAGTGCAATCTTTTAATACTAAACATGCAAAATGTTAGTACTAAATGTGCAAACCTGAAGAATTCATAAAATTACAGATTTTAGTGTTCAAGTTTGCATGGTAAAGTTGGTGATAACTATGAAAATGCCATCGTATTTTTTTAAATCAGATTTGGTCCATTCAATTTTTCTAGATCAATGTAAGGTTGAGATTGATTCTTAGTTTTCTCCTAAGAACTTGTACTCATATGATCTAATACTTGTGTGTGTGTGCCCACCCACTATCACCCAAAAAACTTGATCCATACGGAGTAAATTTGGATGGATAACTGCGGGACGGATTGAAATTGCCATCCCAAGTAAGGGGTGCCCTTGCATGTATGCAGATGGCCTTAGAGCCACCTAAAAGTCATGTGTTCACCATATCAATGTAACCTACTGAATAAATCAATTTATTTTTAATTACACATTTTTACTGAATTAAAAGATCTAATAAAGTTTTTTGTTTTCAATTAGAGTACTTAATTATACTATTTTAATTTTGTGGTAAGATTTTTAAAAGGAGTGGAAGTATAAGGACAAGAATGAAAAGATGCAATTAATTTTGCTAGTGGGAAGGAAGAAGTCAAAAGAAGGCATTAATAAGGGTTTCACTCTCCTTTTATCTTATTCAATAATTCAATAGCCATTAAAATAAGAAACAAGAAACTACACAGAAACTCCCCTCCCTGGCTCCCCATTTACACAAACTCCAGCAACCCTATACTCCCTATAGCTATCCTCTTTCCTCTATCAAGATTCCCTCTCTGCTCTACGTTAACACCGAAGCAAAGGTTTTCATTTTTCCTTTCTTCTTTTCTTACCCCCTTAACTTAGATTCCCCTCTTCGTGTAAGGATCGCGGTGTCTGTATCTGTACATGTCTGTATATATCTCTCTGATTTCTATGTTCATGCAACTTCTCTACTATTTTGGCCTTCTGGGAATGGGATCTGGTTGGTGTCCACAAACTTTCTGATCAGTAGGTTTCGTTGATGATCAGCCCCATTTAGTGGTGGGGTAGAGTTGATTTTGTATTTTTTTTTTCTTTTAAAAAATTCATCTTTCTTCCGTTGGATGAGGTTTTAGTTGGGTAGGTGAGGCTCTTGATTATATCAGAATTTGTTAATCTTAATTTTTGTGTTTTTGTTTTTGCTGATTTTTCAATTTGTGCTGTTTGTTAGGTTTGGGTAGCTTTCTCTAAGTGATTGATTGCACCTTACTTCTTATATTTTTGTATTTTATGGCTAAATATTTATTTCCTTCTCTGGTGAAAGTTTGACAACCATTTATTCTATGGTTGTCAAGCTTAGCCTCTCTATTCTTCTTCCTAACCGTGTTGAAATTTTTCCGTGCAGAGTGTTCATTACATGACTTTGACTGATCGGATGTGTTACAGGACAGAGTGATACTTACCGAAGATAAAATATTGAAGCTTTAGAGTTTTCTGATACAGGGCGCATGCCAGTTTCTGAGAAGGAAGAGGGTTCAATCTATGATCTAACTTATGATTTGTTTCTTAACTTCTCTATCTTCATTGTTATAGTTTCCTATGGTTTAATATGATTTGACTCATGTATCTTGTATATGCAGCTCGCAATACAATCTAGTAGCTCATTGACAAGTATCCCTATAAAGAAGAGAAGGTTCTCGTTTGTTTTCCCTTCATCTCCTCCACCTGAGGAGCCAATTTCTTTTCATGATGAAAGCAATTTAAAGAATGGAAAATCTGGTTCTACCCAGAGATCATCTTTCAACCCTATTGATACTGCTGGGTGTACCAGTAAATCTGATGCTAGCAAGAATCCTGTTTTGGAGGTGAAACAAGAAAGGGCCGGTGGTGCAAATGTTAGCTTTGGTCAACCGGTCATGGATTCGTCTGGATCCAAACTAGCTGAAGCAGATAAGACCTCTGTTCAATTCACTGAGGAGCCTCCTGGATCCAAACCTGCTGAAGCTGATAATACCTCTATTCAATTTACTAAGGAACCTTTTGGATCCAAAGTTACTAAAGTTGATGTCTCTGCCCAATCTCCTGAGGGACCCTCTGGATCCAAGGCTACTAAAACAAATGCTTCATCCCTTCATTATATGGAGGGACCTTCTAGATCCAAACCTACTGAAATGGATGTTACGGTTGCCCAACCTAATGTGGAACCTTCTGGATGCAAACCTGCTGATACAAATGTTTCGTCTGTCAATAATAGGGAGGAACCTTCTGGATCCAAGCCTGCTGAAAAGAATGTTTCATTTGTCCAATCTACTAAGGATCCTTTTAGATCCAAGTTTGAAGAAACAAATGTTGCGTCTAGCCAACCTAGTAAGGAACCTTGTGGGATGCAACTGTCTGAGGCAAACATTAATTCTGCCCAACCTTTGGAATCCAAAGTTCAAGTCACTAGCACGAAGATTTGCTCAGGTTCTACCAATAGTGTTGATAATTGTGTTAAGGGAGAGTTGACTGAAAGTAGCCTTCAAGTTGTTGAAACCATTTCAGTTAATGTCAAGATGGAAAACATTGGCAAACAAGCAGAATGCAGCATTAAATTTCAATCTTCTACACATTCAGGAAACACTGAATTATCTTTAGGATCACAAAGACAAAGGCCCTGTTTGGTAAAATGGCTGTTAGCTGATAGCTGTTAACTGTTAGCTGATTGTGTTAATTAAATGGTATAAATAGTTGATAACATTAGCTGATTATAGAAAAGTGTTTGGTAAATTAGCTGTTAGCTGATAGCTGTTTGGTATAATTTATTTTCTCAAAAAGCTAATTGAAAAAGTTGCTTGGAGTAGCTTTTTAAATTTTAGCCTTTTGGAGTTGCAAAAAGTTAATTAACCAAACATTTATATTGATATTTTAACTAAATCAAATAATTAATAGTTGTCAAATAAGCCAAAATTGGCCTATAGGCCAATTTTTTACCAAACAGGGCTAAAACCTTCCTTTGGGAGTGCAAAACAGAGGAGGTTCTGAGATGCCTAATAATTTGGATCCATCATTTTTATCTTTTTCTTTAAACAAAGAAAAAGCCATCGATTCTCAAATTGGAAGATCAAACAGTAGGTCCAATGATGATAGTCCTGATACCGATACTAACAGATCAAACTGGGATTTGAATACTACTATGGATGCATGGGAGGGTTATGATAATGGCTTTCAAGATACAGATAATGTTGATGCTCTAAGCAAAATCAGTACTAGACATGACCTAAAACCTAGTTTAAGCTCCTTTAGTATGCTTGGTGCTTGCAATGATAAAGGGAAGTAAATTTTTGGAGTTTCTGAGCAGATATCTAGTATACAATCTAGCCAGCCTGATGATTCGCTTTGCCTTAGTCTTGGTAGCACTTTCTGTGGTTTGGACTTCAGTAAGAGGCAGTTTGGTTGGCTCAAGTGCCAAATAGCACCATGAACCAACTACGAAATGTCATCCCGCACCCTAATCTTATATTAGTGTTTATTCGATTCTCAAACCAAAAAAATTTATTCACCTAGCATTTTTTACAGGTTACCCTGTTATCTAGATGACATGGATCCGGTTAAAATTGACGTGGCAGCTGATTAAAATATTTCTTTCCAATTTGACTTATTTATAATGTATTCATCTTCTCCCTATTGCAGCCCTGGTAGACGACAGACACATCTTCTCCCTATCGCAGCCCTAGGTTTTCCGACAATAAGCCAGAGATCCTGTTCCTGTTTAACTCCCTTTCTTCCAAAGCTCCTTCACAAGCAATACTGGTTTCTTTCAATTTGTTCTGCAAGTCTTTGGTTGTTTCAACCATCTCATTATTTGCATCTTGAAACTGTTTCTTCAGATTTTGACTAAGTCTAGCAGCAACTAGCAGCTTTTCAGCAGCCTTTTCAAAGTTGCTTTGATCAAATACAGGAAGCCGTGCAGAATCATCATCACCAAAATTATCTGATATCATTGAGTCATCCAATTTTTCTAGATAAAAGTTCGAGCTCGCTTCCGAAAAATCATTCTGCAGCCCTAAATTCAGTTCTCGAGTTGCATCAATACAAGCAGAAAACAACACCTTAAGATTCCCTTCCATCATGTCAATTTTATTGTCCAGTGCTTGTCGATCTGTGTCCATATCTTTCGTCTTTTGCTTCAGAGATGTTATGAGCTTCTCGGTCCTCGCTTCACGGATTAGGGATTTAGGGTGTCGAATAACAAATACAGATTAGGGCTTAGGGCTTAAGCTAGGCGATTTGGGTTTGCGATTTCGGATTTCGATTTGCGATTAAGGATTTGGTTTCAAGTCGCGATTTGGGATTGCGATTCTGATTTTGAGAAGGAGATTTTCAGACATTCAAAGGGATTGCGATTATGATTTTTAGGTTTTATTTCGCCTATATTATTACATTAAAGAGATGAATGGATGCCACATCCATACACGTCTCTGCCACATCTACTAAATACGACACGTCGCACCCAAGTCAGCGCCACATCACCAACTTATAACCTTTAACTTGAGGGTAACCTGTAAAAAATGCTAGGTGAATAAATTTTTTTGGTTTAAGAATCGAATAAACACTTATATAAGATGAGGGTGCGGGATGACATTTTGTAGTTAGTTCATGGTGCTATTTGGCACTTGAGCCCAGTTTGGTTCAATGACCAAGGCAGACTCAATTCCACGTACTAGTGTTCTAAGAACCATTACAAACATGGATTCTATTGGATGTTGAACTGTAAAGGTAGAACTTATTGATGAAAGTTGAAAACAGGATTATGCTGGATCTAGCAATAATGCTACCAAAGCACTAGATGGTAATTCTTTGAAAATAGAGCATATTGAGAGGGGAAACATGGAACTTATTGAATTCCCAATCAAGTGTGCAGAAAAGATAATTGAGAAAAAATCTATAAAATCTGAACCCTTACAGGAAACTAAACAAGAAAGTTGCAGGTTGTCCAGCATGACATTGCACCAATCTGTTAGAAATGTTTTACCATCAAAAGAGAGTTTTTCTACTTTGCTAGTGCCATTGACCCCTGAAAAGCTGTTGAGTACAAGAGTGGCTACCTTTTCAGAGTTGTCTGTCAGCGGGGAGTTATCAAATCAATCTGAACATTCTGTTCATACTATATAAGTATATGCTCGTAACAATGCATTAGATTAGATGAATGCAGATATAGCTATTCAAAATGAAAATTTTGCTCTAAAAGGTTTGAATGCATCTTGTTCTAAGGTAGATGCTTGTGAGCCAGAGGGTGTGAAAATTGACAGTTTGGAAATGTCACAGTTGAAGCAAGTTAATGAACACCATCAGGCTTTGGTTGCATGTTGTGAGGGATCTGTGAGTGATGAGCCAGATATGAATATATCAGTTGATATGGAAAAAGAACAACCGTATGGTTTTGATTATGAATCAGATGGCAATCATGCTTGTACTATACATACTGATGTGGAAGGTAGGCCCTGTAGCACGGAAGATGGTGATTATGAAGATGGTGAGGTGCGGGAGCCAATATTGCAGTCAACAAAAGAAAATACAATTGCTTTGGGAACTGATTCAAAACAAATTATTGATTCTGACATTCATGCTATGGATGCTTCAACCGATGATAATAATGTCCAATCTGGTTGTGATGAAAAAGATGAAACTACCATGATTTATCATGATGTAATTAATGATTCTTCAAAAGAGTGTGGCTGCGGCACAATTTGTGATAAGATAGTTGATCAAGTTTTGGGAAAAGATGGTTCTTTGTCGACCTCAATATCAGAAAATGTGCCAGCAACATGCTCTTATGACTCTATGCCTGTAAATGATACTGAACAGATACATTTTGATCAAGCAGGAGCAATAGATAAGTAAGAGGAAAATATAGAGGGTGTTTTATGTGATGGATCATTAGTTGCAAGCAATGATATGAGAGTAATTGTTACCAAGAGAGGATGCCAATGGAACTAACGAAGCAGAAAAGTTAAACTCCAGTTTGGCCAATGCTGAAACACCTCTAAATGGTAATAGTGCTAAAGATTCTAGTGCAATTAAGAGCCGGATTATCAATTTGCCTCGGACTTCTAATTCCACTTTCCCTAGTAAAGACATATCTGTCATGGGTAGACCATTGTCATCACGAAGTGGAAGGGAAGGATATTTTGATGCTCAGGATGAGAGATTACATCTTAGTGGGAATCAGTGAATATACTTTTTAGCTGCTGATGTTTCTTTAATCTGTGTTTATTTTTAATTTTTTAAATGTTTAATGACACTTGATTTTATTCTTGCTCTTTTCAGATGTGAAATGTACACTGATGGTTCAAATACATATTCCAGAGAGAGAATTCGAGATCGTCCTTATTAAAGCTCCAAGGTATGTTTCATGCGTGGAAGAGGACGGGTTTCGGCCCAGTTTGGTAGGTCACACCGTGACTGGAATTCTGAGCGTGATTTTAGCTTTACTCGGCGGGATGATTACTATTTTCCTAGACATAAGCGTGTTGCTGCCATTGATGATGCTGAAGTTGAACAGAATGACTTTGATATTGCACCAAATGGAGCTGTTATGGGTCCAAGTAGAGGAAGGAAACACTTGAATGGTGACTCACCTTCTTTTCGGCATTCTTTATCAAAGAGGCTTTCTCCTGTTGACAGGGGTGGTCATGCAAACATGGGTATTCAAATACTTGGTAGGATGCCCAGAAATAGTAGTCCGAGTAAATGTACTGATGAAGATGGTTTAGAGTTTGTCGGACTTAGGCATGGTGAGAGGTTTGTGAGGGATTTGCCGACTGATATTATTGATCCTTTATATAAATCAGATGGGCAATTTGTGACACCCCGGAAATTAATCCCTTAAACCCAAATTAATTACTTAATTATTTCCTAGGGACGGATTTAACCTTCCTATTTACCCTTACAATTCTTTCTATAATTTTTCATTGAATCTAGTTAGGGGATCTAGTTTGACCCAAATCCCTTAACCTTTTAGTATGGTCAATGGGTTGGACCTTATTTAATAACCTTTGGACCCTAGCTTTTATTTAAAAGAAACCCTTCTAGCCTTTATAATAAAAGTGAGGAGGCCCACATGTAACATTTCAAATTTTCTTAACTTGCAACCCAAGCTACAACCTAGAGACACTACCCCTACACTTAGCCAAACACTCTCAAACATTTCAGCCACATCCCTACACCTCTCTCTCTCCATTTCCCTTCTCCCACCCTTACCAAAGTTGTTCTTCATTTCCTCCACCTAGAAGACCAACAATATTGCACCTTTCTTCATCACCAAGCCTAGGAAGGGTAAGTATTAGGTGTTTATAGTCTTATTTCATAGTTTTGCATCTATACTATCTAAGTTTTTTCTTTGCATGTTGGGTTTTGGGTTTTATGATGAAGATCACTTGAAGAGGACTTGCAAGAGTGATCTTGGGAGTTGGAAGGATTTGGATAAGCTAAGAAGGTAATCCTATGCCCAACAAAACCTATTTTCCTTGTATAAATGCTTTCTTGATGATCTTGTGTAGTGTGATGCATATTCTTGTGATTATGCTATTGTAGAGCTTGTATTTAGGGTTATTTGATGCTATTTGATGAGTTATTCCTTATATTCAAGTCCCATTTGTTGTTGATGTGAGTATTGAGGTATTTGGAGTTGGATTGCACATTCTTGGAATTTTTCCCGAGATGAAATTTCTTCTATAGGCTTCGGTACCAGCGGGAGCCTGGCGAGCAGTTTGCCACTTGCCAGAACCACCCACCGGTACAAGGTTGTTCAGCAGGGGTTTGGCGGGTGGTTTAGGGCCCACCGGAACCACCCGCTGGCACGGTGTGGATTTTCGGCGGGACCTTTTCCACCCATCGGAACTACCCACTGGTACGTATATTGATGGCTTCTTGATTTGTTGATCCCCGAGTATTTGTATGTCTTTATTGATGTCTCGTAAGTCTAGAGCGATGTATGGTGAACCTTATGGTTAGGTTATGAGTCTTGAATCGTGGTTGTAATCCAATATTGTGATTTGTTGGATTCAAATGAAGTTTATGTTATTCGTATGAGCCTTTGTTATTATCTTGTTGGCTTGCATGCTAGTTATGTTACTTATTGGTACTAGTGTGTGATTTCCTTGTGATAACCTTCTTGATTCTTGATTGAATTGATACTTGAGCCTATCTATTCGTTGTAATCCTTTGATTGGAATCCTTTGATATCGTTGTATTGCCTTTGGAATATCTTCTTCGTATATCTAGGACATAGGAATCTTAGGACGCGCGGTGAGGTGTGACTTTCTTTATCGTTGTTGTGCCTTTCTTGCTTGTTTATGTTTAGTTTAAGTTCTTTTGTCTTGAGCACCGGGTAAGGATACATAGCTTCTCCGTTTCTCTTGCTGTAATTGTGTTGCTTCTGTAGAATCCTGCAATGGCACCTCTTTGTCACCGTGCACGGACCCCGGAGACGCCCACGAATGAACAGCTAGCCCAGAGCCTTCAGTATCTCACTCAGGTTACGCAGACTCTGAGCAACGCATTCCTCCATAACCACAACAATCCTCCTCCGCCGCCGCCACCGAATGGAAACCGTGACATTAGCCGACAAGTCTCAAGCCACCGACCTCCAGTGTTTGCCAGTGAAGAAGACCCCGCAGTCTTGGAAGAGTGGATTCGTTCGCTAGACAAGATCTTCACGGTGGTTGAGTGTCTCGAAGAACGTCGAGTTGAGCTAGCAACTTTCTACTTCAGTCATGAAGCAGATTTTTGGTGGGTCTATGAGGGACCGGGTTGTCAAGGAGAGCCGAGATTTTGTTGGGAGAGATTGAAAGACAAAATCCTCAAACGCTTCTATCCTTGCATGTCCGGACGGTTATGTATGAAGAGTTCAAGGGGCTTCGACTATGGTGGAGTACCACAAAAGGTTTTTGTGGCTATCTCGTTTCGCTCAAGTGTTGGTCCCTACCGAGGCCACTCGAGTGGAAAATTTTGTGACGGGTCTAAATTATGAGGCAAGGAAGTCTTTGACGGTGTTCAAGCTAGAGCCGTCAAAATGGGTTTAGCCCGCCGGGTTAACCTGTCCCGCCCTGCGAAAAGGGCGGGGTGGGCTTTGATATTTTAGGACTGTATTTTGAAAAACCCGCGGGCTTTACCTAAAGGATGATGCTGTGAAAATGCATATATTGTTCGTTTCCTGTTTATTCCGTTTTCATAATCTAGCATCTGTATCGGCCAAATATTGCCTGTTAAACTTGATTTGTCTTGGAATACAGCTTACTGGACGGAATTAGAGATGACTTAATCATTGAAGTGCATGATTCAAAAGGAGTTATTGTGGCTGTGCAATAGCCCAGGTAGCTGATATTTCTGATGATCAGCAAATATACAATTGAATTTTTATGATTTTAAAAATAGTTTATTATGTATTTATGATTTTTCTAGAGCTTAGTGTCAACAATTGAATTTTTTGTAATAATATGGTATCTGAACACTATATTAATAGCTTGATTGCAGGGAGAGAAGCTTCGTTGGTGGCCCATATACCATGAACAACCATAGCATGACCTTGTTGGTTTATAAACTATTCTACCAGTGCAGGTGCGTTAAATCTTTGATGTAGGCTTTTGTAATTTTTTGTGTGATCTTGTGAGTAGTCTTGCCTAAATGTTTCTTTAATTTTTCGTATAATGTGGGACTGTGGTTGCAGATACTAATGCATATGACTGTGTTTCGTAGGCAGCCATGGAAGTCCAACAGTTTCAACATAGGAATTTGTTTGTTTTCATGGTTGTAGGATTCTGTCTGTTCCAAATGCTTGCAGTATTTTAGTAAATGGTGCTGTTAAGAAGGGAGAGCGTTTGGTGCCGCCATCAGCACTTGATTTGCTCTTAAGAGTGACATTTCCTCCTTTAATTTTTGTTTATGTTTTGTTTTTAGGGCTCTTGATGCAATAATATTGCAGTTGTTTCAAAGAAACAGGAAATTGAGAGCAATGGCTCCGAAAAGACAGCTTTCGAGTTCCTCCGCTGCTGCGAAACCAAGTGAAGTTCTGAGCATTGGATCATCTCGGCCTGGGAAAGCCAGTGCTAAGGTTAGCAGCTTTTCCTGATAAGCTTGAAGCTTCTGTGTGATTTTTTCAAGTCTTTTTCTGTTCTTACGCAATGCTTCTTTTAAATATAGGAGAGTTGTGAAAGTGGTTTTGAAGATTATGTGGTTGCTATTGAAAGTGTAAAGAAACAACTCAGATTAAATCTTAGGTAAATTCTATTATATGAATACACTATGATTTCGACTGGAAGTTCCTATGTCTATATATTTATTTATTTACTTATATTAATTTTTTTGTTTCATATTTTAGAAATGTTACCTTTGACATCATTGGGGGGAAATCGAATACGTTTTGGCCTTTTGGGACTGCCTAACCATTTATAGCAATATGCAATCGTATTTGAGACTATCATCTAACTTTCGAATGTGTAGGAGTGCCGAAAATTCCTGCTAGAGTTCCAAGCATGAGCTTGTCTTGGCCTTCAAGAATTTCTTGAATGACATGAAAAATGGTATCCTTCAATCATGGAAGATCATGTATATCCTGAAGAGAAGCTTTCAGATATTTTATTAATAGAATAATTAAATTATATTTTATTAATTAAAATATTTAGTAATTTGATTAATTAAATTATTTTGTAGGTATTTGAAGGAAATTCGTACTCTACCATGGAATAGATGGGATTCGAGACTTATGAGCAAAATATTTTTTGGAAGAGTATGTGTAACTTTTGTTTTAGATTAAATGTTATATTGTGTTGATAACTAATTATTGTGTTGAAGGTATTGGATTGATATAAAGTATTGTATATGGTTGAGTGTTGATAATATTGTGTTTTGATAGTTTGTTGATAATATTATTTTTGATACTTTGTTGATAATAGTGTTGATGGTTAGTATTATCTTTGATTATGTACAGTATGAATAGGATTTTTATAAAAATTGGGGCATTTAAAAATAAAAAATAATAATGAAATTTTCTTTAAAAAAGAAAAAAAAAACAATCTGCTACCCTTCTTTTGTAAAAAGAGCAGCGGATGCTTAGATAAAATAATAATAAAATAAGAAAATTCGCTACCCTTCTATATTTAGAAGGGTAGCAGATATTTAACTTTCCGCTACCCTTGTGAAAGGGTAGCGGAAAGCTCAAGGCTTTCAGCGTCCCTCAAATCTGCTACCCTTGTACAAGGGTAGCGGATGTGCATATCTGTACTAGTGACACCCAATTAGAAACGACGTTTTTGAATTTTATGAGTTAGAATATGTATATTATGAGTTAGAATAGTGTATTTTTTATGAGCTAGAATAATGTAGTACATTATGGGGTTCCATTACTATTAATTTATTTGCCCATGAGACGGCTTATATATTTTTTTTGAAAGTAAACTGCTGCTTGTATTAATCAATCAAAACTGAAACAAAAATAGGAGGATCGTCCTCCCATGTCAAGAGTCCACCTGTGAATAGGCTGCTAAAGCTAACGAATGTGCTAAAAAGTTAGACGTATGAGGAATAGAAATAACAGAACACGAAATAAAAGAACTACGCAAGTCCCGACATGCTGAAACAGCTACACCATCATAGGAGTGATATTCCGTCGGTGAAATAGTAAGGGCATGACAAAGATTCAAGCAATCCGTCCGAAGTTCAACCTCCGTTATACCACGATCTATGAGCTAGGAGAGGGCCTCCTTGCACACGAACGCTTTCGCCATGAAAGGACCCTGGCAGTTTGGTAGTGGTCCGTTCTTGGCTGCAACGAAACCACCGTCCGGACGCTGCAAAATGAGGCCAAAAACACCCGTCCTAGATGCGGCCACATAGCCCGCATCAAAGGAACACCGCAAGCAATCCTCGTCGGTCCATGCCGCGGTCCCAGCTGCAGCTTGACGTGCATGTCCAGCCACTGCCTCCCATCATGTTGCCGGGCTGGTAGGACACACGTCGCACGCCATTCATCAATGGCTGCTGTGGCGTTTGCATGCACGCGACGAGGGATCCCCAACTTGAACTCCCATACAGCGTATTGTGTTGCCTCCATATGTGGTACATGATGGCCAGCATAGAAGAGAAGTGATTGTCATCAACTTTCTGGAACAAGGCTTCAAGCCACACACTAAAACCATCTCCTACCATACATTGCACCATCAATCCAGAAATATTCCATACACATTTAGAATAATCGCATAACACAAGAGTATGCAAAATATTTTCAGAACAAAGACCACACAAAGGGCATGTTATAGGGACCTCTACCCTCCTATTTAACAAGTTGTCCATAGTGGGGAACACACCACTCACAGCTCTCCACAAGAAAGTTTTCCACTTAGGGGGTACTTTTAGGTTCTAGATCTTATTCCATGATGAGAAGCCATTGGGATGCATAGGTATAAATCCATCAATTCACGGTAAGCACCCTTCACAGTGTATACCCCCTTTGGATCCCCATGCCAATACCACAGATCTTCATAGGCCGGACTTATAGGGATTTTAATAATCCGGGTAATATCATCTGGCAGAAATAGCTCAGTAAATAAAGGCATATCCCATGTCGAGGTTACCGGGTCTATTAACCCCGAAACTTTCACTTCTCCCAAATGCTCAGGCTTATCAGATAATATTTTAGGGGTGGACTCACCCATCAACCACGGATCCCCCCAAACCAGAGCAGCATCTCCATTCTCTATCCTGCGTCTAATATTGTGATAATTAGACTATGAGAAGCCATAACACTCCTCCAACAAAAACTTGGGTTATTACCAACTGTGGCATTCAAAAAATCAGTCTTCGAATAATACCTGGCCTTATAAACTCTGGCAACCAGAGACTGAGGATTAGTAAGGAATCTCCACCCCTGCTTGCCTAGCATGGCCAAATTAAATGCCCTTAAATCCTTGAAACCCAACCCACCAAACTTCTTTGGCTTACTCAATTTATCCCATGCCATCCAATGAATTCCCCCACCATCCCTCCTGTTACGCCACCAAAATCTATTCATAAAACGTTCCAGGTTTTTACATAATGAGGCAGGTAATAAGAATACACTCATAGTAAATGTCGGCATGGCCTGTGCCACAAACTTCAACAAAATCTCCTTTCATGCCTGAGATAAAAGTTTCTTGTTCCAGGAACCAATTCTCTGCCTTACCTTATCACCAATGTACACAAACACAGCTTGTTTATTTCTTCCCACAAAGGCCGGCAAGCCCAGATACTTGCCGAAATTGGCTGCCTGCTGCACTTCAAAAACAGCTGTCACTGCATTTCTATCTGCAAGCTGAGTATTTATGCTAAAGCAAATATTAGACTTATGATAGTTAATAGTTTGACCAGAAATTTCCACATATGATGTTAAACACCTTCTGATGACCCCTGCTTCCTGAACATTAGCCTTAAAGAAAAGGAGGCTGTCATCCGCAAAGAACAAGTGCGAGAGCGCAGGTGCCCCTCTTGCGACTCTTAACCCATGAAAATCCCCCATGTCCTAAGCTTGCTGCAATAACAGAGATAACCCGTTTGCACAAATAATAAACAAGTATGGGGACAAAGGATCACCCTGACGGAGACCCCTAGACGGGATTAACTGTCCCCCTGATGCCCCATTAATCATAATATTATAGGACACGGTGGTAACACATTCCATAATCAAATTCACACACCCCATCTCAAAGCCCAGGGCCACAAGCATCTTTCTCAAAAACGACCACTCCATTCTGTCATAAGCCTTTGCCATATCCAACTTCAGGGCTCCCCAACCAACCCTACCCAACTGCTTCCTATTCAAAAAATGCCCCACTTCAGCAGCAACTAATATGTTATCAGTGATAAGCCTACCCGGAATAAAAGCACTTTGCGATACAGATATTATATCACCCAACATAGGTTTCATACGATTAGCAATAACCTTGGAAATTATTTTATACACCACATTACTCAGGGCAATCGGGCACAAATCAGCTACTAATTCTGGGGTCTGTTTCTTAGGGATCAACACAACATTCGACTCATTAAGCCCAGGCGGCAAAGACCCCGAATTCAAGCAATCTAGGACAAAATCAGTAACATCCACCCCCACAACATCCCAAAACTGTTGATAAAAACCCAGGTTCATACCATCAGGCCTCGGGGCTTTATCAGGGAACATGGCAAACAAAGCAGCTTTAACCTCCCTGGGTCATAGGGTTGACTAAGCCATTCATTATGGGACTGAGTAACACGGGGAGTAACCGAAGCAAAGAAATCAGGCCCGTCAACCACAGCCGGATTAGCAGTAAAGATATCACTAAAATAATTCATCACAACTGGTTTCAATGCATCACCATCAACCAACCTCCCCAAATCATCTTTAAGACGCAAAATAGTATTTTTACGTTTACGAGCAGAAGCGTAACTGTGAAAGAAACGTGTGTTTGTATCCGCCCCTCGGAGCCAATGCTGTTTGGCACGTTACCTCCAAAAAACTTCCTCCTGCTTCTCAAGCAATGACAGCTCAGTCTCCAATCGGCGAAATTCGGCCAAGGCTTGCGGACTCATATGTCCCCTACAATTCAACTGTTGCTTCTTTAGAGTTGCAATTCGTTTCCCAAACTTATGGAAATGATCACCCCCCCCCCCCCATCTTTGGAGCTTCATACCACACATCTGTAAACGGGCCTGCAAATCCTCTCCCCCATGACCCCAAGCCTCCTCCACCACCTCCCTACATCCACCATCTAACAACCAGGCCATTTCAAAATGAAAACCCCGATTGCCTGCCCTGCCCCTCACGTCAGGCCGTATATCAAGAAAAAGCGCCGAATGGTCCAACCTTCTAGTCAATATATTATAGACTCTTGTCCCCTCCACCAACGCCCGCCACCCATCACTCGCCACTACCCTATCCTATTTTTCCTCCACCCAGGCCTCTGTCTCCTTGCCCTTCTCCCAAGTAAACTGATAACAAATCATAGGGATTTGGCCCAATTCACAATCCTCCAGTGCCTCTCCAAAACCCCTCAAGAGAGGATTCGGATGCTGGTAACGTCTCCGTTTCTCATACTGAAAGAGTAAATCGTTAAAATCACCCAAAACTACCCACGGCAGCGGAGAACGATGCCTTAGGCTCCTGAGCAGATTCCACGAGTCTACGCTTCTATTATGTTGTGGAAAACCATAAAAGCCCATCATCCTCCAAGGATCATAACCAGGCAGCGTGACATTTACATCAACATGATTCCGGGAGTAACTCAAGAGACTAACCGAGTTATTTGTCGTCCACAATAGAGCCAATCCACCAATCAAACCCCTACTGTCCACATAGAACAAGCCATTAAACCCCAAACGCACACGCAAACATTCCGCATGATCCCTACCAACCTTCGTTTCCATTAAGAATATAAAATCAGGTTTCTTTCTAGACGCCATGTCCAATAGTTCTCGAACTGTGCGTGGATCACCCAAGCCACGATAGTTCCAACTCAGAGTACTCATAATGACGGGCGGGACTGGGAACCAGTACCCGCCATAAACAAGTTTTTTAAAATATCGGCCATTGTCACATCATCCCCACCCCTCACTACACCTCCCTCACTATCCCGCCCCTCCTCCCTCCTCCTCTACGGCCCAACCGTAACACCTCCCTCCATAGCCCGGGGATTATCCAGGATCACGACCAAGCCACCACCACCCCCCACACGCTCTACCACCTCCTCCCTCTTCCCCCCAACTGGGTAAGCCACGAATGGCCTACCGACCTCGGACCACACGGTAGACCCGCCTTCATCTCGGCCCCATAAGGGTATTGCTCAACCGACAGAGTTGAGTTCCTTGCTTGCAAACAGAATTTATATGAGTGGCCCAACATACCACAGAAAAAACAAAATGTATGAAGCCTCTCATACCTGAAATTGATCCAACACCAAGTTTTATCCCGTTTTGCCAACCTCATCCTACGCCGCAATGGAGTAACAACTGGGATACTCACCCGAATACGATAGAATGCTTTCCACGACCGATCATCAAACCTCTCATCCCCTTTCACAAACCCGCCCAGAAAATCGCCTATCTGCTCAAGGATTACCGCAGACGTATAACCCATAGGGAGGTCATAAACCTGAACCCACATATCCACACTATCAAGCACCACATCCACCGGTAATACTCCCTCCGTGACCGGCCTACAGACCAAGGTATGGTTGTCAAAGGACCAGGGTCCCTCATCAGCAACACGCTGCAAATCCGTCTGATGATAAAACACGAACATAAAGAGATTAGGTTGAAATTCGGATACCTGAACCCCACACAGGCTGCCATGCAAAGGCCAAGACCTGCCGCATAAACTCAAGTTTCACCAACCGCCTCGTCAAAAATCGACCGACCAAGACCCATGTTTGTCGGCCCCCTTCCGCCTCCGCCGACTGCCCTTCGCCGACCGGAACAAGAAGATCCTCGTCATGCAGTGCAATTCCCGCATACCCCTCCACCAACTCCTCCACAATTTCCGGCGCTGCACGCTGATCCATCGTAAAACATAAAACAAAAACCAAAAGTTGGAATGAACTAGGCAGCAACCCTGTGATGACGATATAACCCTTTAACAGAGAAATCCTGAGCAAGGGCATGCAAAACCCCTCAAAATCACCATTGCCGAGGATTGAACTCAGGTTACCCGCATAAAAAGCAAGAATACTCACCACTATACTACAACAACCTATTGGTTTTAATATTCGACTTATGAATTTTAACAACGTTACATCAATGAAAGTCACGTTCCATGCAATTCATCGTACATAGGAATACTACACATTTTCACAAACAAAACATTTACAGCGTGTTTGGTTTACGGAATGAATTTTGAGAGAATAGGAATAGGTAAAGAATAAAATAAGAATTGTATTTTAGTGTTTGGTTCGGAGAAGGAATAGACTTTAAGAATGTTATTCCATTGTTTGGTTAGTTTAAGAAATAGAATGGAATATATGTATAAAAGACATAACTACTCTTCTACAAAATACATAATAATAATAATAATAATAATAATAATAATAATAATAATAATAATAATAATAATAATAATAATAATAATAATAATAATAATAATAATAATAACAATATTATTATTATTATTATTATTTTATTATTATTATTAATTAATTAATTTGTAGAAAAAAATGAAGGAAAATACATTTGTTTGAAGCTTCAATTTGGTGTAAATGATGGAAAAGATACGAAGACAAAGAGGAAGAGAGAAAGATAATCTAAGGTTTAGGTTAAACAAAAGGGTAAAATCAAAAATAAAATAAAAAAGCTATTCCTGAAGACTCAGGAATAGGTTAATATCAGGGGCGCCCTAGGTAATAGCTATTCCTCTAAGAGGGGGGATAGACCATTCCCATTAATAATGTTCCTGGGAATATAAATTTTTACAAAACAACGGAATAGGCCTATTACTGGGAATGCTATTCCATTCTAGCTTATTCCGTAAACTAACAGCACGTTTGGTTCACGGAATGAATTTTGAGGTAATAGGAATGCTATTCCATAAGGAACGGAATAGGCAAGGAATAAAATAGGAATTGTATTCTATTGTTTGGTTCGCGGAAGGAATAGACTTTAGGAATTATATTACAGTGTTTGGTTGATTTAAGGAATAGAAATGAAATATGTTTCGAAATATGTGATGGTGGCGATGGTGGTGGTGGTGGCGATGGTGGTGGCGGTGGTGGTGATGGTGGTGGTAGTGGTGGTGGTAGTAGCGCTGGGGTGGTAGTGGTGGTGGTGGCGGTGGCATTGGTGGGGACGACGGTGGTGGTGGTGACGGTGACGGTTGATGGTGACGGTTGTGGCAGTGGTGGTGGCGGCGGCGACGGTTGTGGCAGCGGTGGTGGTGGTGGCGGCGGCGGCGGCAACGGTGGTGGCGGTGGTGGTGATGGTGGTGGTGACGGTGGTAGTGCTGGGGTGGTAATGGTGGTGGCGGCAGTGGCAGTGGTGGGGGCGACGGTGGTGGTGGGGGCAGTGACGGTTGTGGCGATGGTGGTGATGGTAGCGGCGGCGGCGATGGTGGTGGTGGTGGTAGAGGCGGCAGCGGCGGTGATGGTGGTGGTGGCGACGACGGTGGTGAAATATGATAAATTTATATATAGGATAAAAAAAATTAGGTTAAAGAAAGGGGTAAAAAAGAAAATAGATTCTAAAATCTATTCCTGAGCGTTCAGTAATAGGCTAATACCAGGGGGGGCCCTAGTAATAGCTATTACCTTATTTGAGGTAATAGGCTATTACCAGGAATATTATTTCTGGTAATAGAAATGGTTACCAAACAAAGGAATAAGCCTATTACTGGGAATGCTATGACATTCCCGGCCTATTCCGCGAACCAAACGAGCCATAAACGTGCCATTAAAGTGACAGATTCATTATTATTTTTCCCAAATCTACAATCTACACTCCATCAACTTCATAACATTGAATTTCAGTTATTATTATAGTTTCTTATAAAAGAAT